AAACAACAGAAACCTTTAAGGTGTGTAGTGATGGTTCCCCATGCACAGAAACCTTTACAAAGCACTGAAGGGAACAACAGCCTTATTTTACACCATATATGAGCCCAAGAAGAAAGACCATTATATATATATATATGTATATATATATATATATATATATACAGTATACATTCACATAGATATGTACATAACTGTATGCTGTTATTAAACACATCTAAATCTTCGGTCTTCAGGTGTCGAATTATATAAAGAAGTGAGGGAAGTATTTATGAGGATTATAAAGGTCACTGTTTTGAATCCAGGCCATCTCTGTCCACACACACACTGCTCTACCTGTGTCCTTGAACACACCTTGACACCAGAGGACAAGTGTTTGTGCTGCTCAAACATGTCATCAAACATGTGCAGTCAACCTTCCCACTTCCCTGTATCAGTTCTCAACCTGTTAATCAGTGAAAATGTAATTTCAGAAGCTTCATGTTTTGGTTATTGTAACATCAGATTTAACCTGAGCAGCAGCAGCAGCAGCAGGAGTGTAAATCATGGTGTGAACACTGGGTCAATGGGCGAGAAGCTGCCGCTGCTCACGCTCCTGTTTATTGGCGGGGGAGGGGGGGGCATAAGAGTGCGGGGAGGTTTTAAAACTCAGCACATAGTGCAGGCAGCGTCACTGCAGGAGGAACCTGTCGAGGTAAAAACTGCTTCTATACGTCTGAATGAGGTTCTGGTGTGGGCTCATTTTCCTGATTAACAACACTGCGTCACTTCACTGTGTAATTGTTGTCTGATACAAAACTGATCGATAATCAACAATAAATGATCTAAAAATATATGAAGAATCTGAAATCTTTTAGGAAATGCTGCTTGTTTTTTTCCTCTTTTTGCATCAAGAGATTATTATTTATTTTGATTTAATTATATAGATCTGTGTTGACACTGTCTCATACCGTACTGGCGATTTTCTTGTTTCCTGTTCACTTACATGGACAGATACAACTGAGGACCAATTCTACGGTATATTATACAATTCTATAAATTGTCTGTGTTTTGTTTTTTTTAAACTAAATCTGCACAATTATTGTAAAGTTCTTACACTTTGTGATTGAAGTGATGCTAATCCTGACGAAATTGACGCCAAATTTCTGTGTGAAATTGAAACTACTCAACTGTAAATTTAAAGTTTTTATCACAGACTCATGTTTTACCATAAAAATGTGTTTTTTTACTCCTGATCTGAAAAACAAAACTCAAAAGTCTTAAACATCTATGATGACAAAACCTTTTAAACTTATTTTTAAAGGAGCGTTACACAATAGCTGATCTTTATCGACCTCTATAGACGATCAGGAGGAACTGCACCATCCACATATTTAACCCAAATTTCCCTGGAGATCAATACAGTTTTATCTTATCTTCACTTCGTGATACATGGAGATGTCTTCCATCACTGACAGTGGTCTTTACATAAGCAACAAAGTAAAGCAGGTTTGTTAAACAATACACTTGTTAAAAAGAGACTTGTTAGAGGTTATTTATCAGGTAAAGGTAATACTCAATAAAAAAATAAGATGGAATCATGGGTTTGAATTTTTCACCCAGTGTGAACATCATGTAGCTTTAAAGAACATACGGTGTACAACAGAAATACTTAAATTCTCATTGAGGAATCCAAAGATAAATTTGACCACATTTGGCAAGCACTAATTTTTAATTTTTAATTTTAAAGTAATAGTTTGCAAATTTATTAATTCAATTTGCAAACTATTACTGATACATATTAAGAAAGAGAGATCACTGTCACATGGATCGTGCTTTGCACTTTCAGGACAGAATTGTAAGGAAGAAAAAGGAAAATCTGTAAGAAAGAAAATTGATTAGGCTACATGTCAATGATTTTCTACATGTGTTTATTAATTTCACCTGAATAAAGGAGGAAAAAAGGATAATTTTTTTTATTTTTATCTCTGTTTTAATGTCTGTCTCTTATTTTATTTTCTATTTTGTTTTCTGTGTATCTGCTCCAGGAATATATTTCCTATATTCATTTGATTGTTCAAAGTTGAAAACTCCAATAAAAAGAGAGAGAGAGAAAAGAATATATTGTTTATCAGGCAGTGTGGAATAAAACCTTAGAGCTACTGAAGAGGAAACTGGAAGTTAAGTGATTTAACTTCATTAGTTTGAAGGGTTCTTGTTCCTTAAACCTGCTCAATGAAAAAACCATTAATTCAGTCTGCAACATCATATTTAACTTCATTTAACCAGGAAATCAATGAGAGTGAAAATCTCTTTTAGAAGGGCTCAGCGGTGAGCGCTGTGTGGGTAACGAGTGAAGCGTTTTGAGTGTTTTAGCCTTGCAGCTTCTCTACTAAGTAAATTCCCACTGATGTTGACGTGCCAGATGTGTTTCCGCTGTGTTTCCAGATGAGGTGGTGTGTCGCTGTCGTCCTGGCCGTGCTGCAGCTCTGCAGCCCAGCGCTGCAGTCTGACCCGCTGCTCTATGTCTCCCAGCTGCAGGACGGGCAAGAGAAACTCAGCAGTGAGTCACTTCATAATGACACTGAAGAGTTACCTGCTGAGACACTGTGACGGAGAGTTCAATTACAAAATAAGCTATTTACCATTTCAATAACTTGATGCCTGCTCTTTACAAAAGGGTTAGGGTTATCCACGAGCAGATATACTTGTTAATGTCCAGGTACAAAGTGTGTTGGTTTGGTATATCTGCCTGTTTTGGTCATGAACTCTCCAAATGTTCCACGTCACTATAGTTTTCTGAAAAAATAATGTGTATATCTAAAACCAGTGCCATTTTCTTTTCGTCCTTTCACACAGAGCCGTGGCTTAACCCCACTCTGGAAGATGTCGTCCCTTCCCGGGAAGTCGTCAACCCCCCACAAATTAGAGAGATCCAAGAAACTGAGACGACCTCACACTCCTTCCCCATGTTTGGCGAACACGTCAACCTCAAATGGGTCACATGGAACGGCTCCCTCCCGAACGGCGCTGTTGCCATCTTCAACGGCTACACCGAACGCACGGACTATGTGTGCAAAGTCAACTGCGAGGCCGGCTTCTACACTCCCAGCAAAGGAAGCTTCTGCCAGTATCCCTACGCCGACAAAGAGTACGCATCCTCCAAGTTTGAAGTGCTGGTCAACGTGGACCACTTTGAGTTCCTGGCGTGGGTTGAAGATTCATACGGCTCTGTCCCCCAGTACGCCGTCAAAACTTGCCCCAACTCGGACATCTATGTGGGGAAAAACAAGTATGGTCTTGGCAAAGTGGTGGCCCAACACGAGGCTTTCTTCCTCCCCTGGGAGGGCGATGAGTACTGGTACAAGAGTTACCAGGTCCTGGCTATCAACAGAGACAGCTACAGCCAGCACATCTCTCATGTGGAGTACGCCATCGACCAGATGGAGCTGTTCCACCATCCTCCGGAGGCCCTGAAGCTCACCAAGGTCACCAACCTGGAGTGCAGAAACGTGGCGAAGACAGTCCAGCTGGAGAAGACCAGCACAGTGGAGAAGACCTGGGACATCGGCAGAGAGACCCGCAACGGCTCCATCTCCACCATGAAGGCCAAGGTGCCCATCCTCGGCCCGGGGACGGTGGACTTCACCAAAGAGCAGACGGTGACCTTCTCAGAGGGAACCACAATGGCCGAGTCTGTCAGTCACTCTGTCTCTGTGGAGCTGCTGGTCCCACCCAACCACTCCTGCGCCGTGAGGATGGACGGCAGGAAGATGACGGCCGACATCCCCTTCACCGGCAGGCTGAGCAGGACCAACCACAACGGAGACACCCATTGGACGTACATCACGGGCACCTACGACGGCGTGAGCGTCGGAGAGATCAACGCTGTAGTCGAGAGATGTCAGCCGGTGCCTGACGCTGATCCCTGTCCTCCAGCTCAAGACTGATGACCAGTCTGATGATGAAAAACTCTGTTTTCCAAATAAAATACATTAAAAAAATTCAAAGAGTTTCTTTGTTCTTTTTTGTCCTTCAACTGAGATATTTTGGACCAGTTACTGTATTTTTAAATTGGTTAGCTAGCTATACTCTTTATTCGATCCTGATATCAATATTTGGAATCAATATTTCATAATAATATTGACTGTTAACTAAAAATACACTTTATTTCTACAGCACCTTTCAAAACCAGAGTTTAAAAAATACCAAAAAATAGAACAATTAATACGGTGAATTTTCAAACTTGGAGAATTTGACAAAGAAGAAACGATATAGAACCATTTGTTGAATCCATGTTTTTTATTTGATTATTTTCATCTTCAATGTCATCACAGGTATCATTGTAAAGCTTTCTCTCTGTGATCAGGTCCAAACATGGTCATTTTCTTTGTATCAGCAGCCAATCATGAAAGTGAAAATGAAAGTGAAATTTTGCTAAAGTATCTTTAAAGGCCATTTTCAAAGAGTTTTTTCCCCTCATACTCTAAGAAATTTCAGTTGTACTTACACCAAACTTTCCAATTTTATTCTTATCTATATTCTGAAGGTTTCTTACTGATGGGTTTATTAATGAATCATTCATAGCCTAATTTATATAACATTTTACTCCTAAGCATGGATTTTTTAAAATATTTATTTTCTGATTTATGGAGTGATAAAAAAAAGAGATATCCAAAATCCCTTCTCTAAAAACATTTGACTCTAATATCTTAACAAAATGAAACAAGATTTTTGAACCTGGCTTTATGTGCTACTTTGTGCTAATTATTAATTAAATAATGCATAATTTGCATATTTAAGCATAAAGTTTCAGAAAACGTATAATATGAAAAACAACTGTCTTCATGTAAGTAATCAACTGGGGAAGTTTCATGGTCATATCTGTTAAAACCTTTACCCCATCCACCTGTAGTGTCTTGCCCTTGCCTGCCTCACAGCTAGATGGCGCTGCAGCCCGCAGGAGCAGGAAAAGCCTGTTGGCTCGTGTTGTCTTTGTGACGCTCATTGACTGGTGTGATGGAGAGACATGACAGGAGGACAAGCTAATAGTTAGCTCTGTGAAAGTTCAGAGGAATTTAAACAGGAATTGCAAATAAATTCTAAATTTAACCGGTATCATATGTTGTCGCACTGGCGCCAAATGTTCTCACCGTGTTGTTTTAAGTGTGTGTGTGTCGGTGTTACGCTGACTTGAGTTACCTGACAAGGTACAGTAAGCTAACGTTAGCAAGCTAGCAACACCAGTCAAAGTTACCTTCACACAGTTTAAGACATAAATACGAGGTAAAAACTTTCTCTGTGGAGTGAGGGGTTCGTGTTAAGGGTTTTTTTATTTTTAAAAACGTAATAAAAAGCAAAAATACAGACATAATGCCTAAAGATTTATACAGTGAAACTCCATAGAGAAATCAGCCCATTATCAGAATCAACATGTATTATATTCTAATAGGGAATTGTCGTTTCATCGCCGTAAATTAAAGTTAAAAATGTCTTAAGTTTGACTTAATAACAAGAGCTGACAGTTTGTTTCATAGGCCGAATGAAAAAAGTCCCATTTTTAAGCAAATTTTGTCGTTATTTGTCACATTTTTTCAAGACGCTGTTGAACTTTGTCACAATGCGACGACTTTTGACAAGAGTCATAAATAGAGTTTTGCTGAGTGAACCGTTTACACATGCGATGGGCTTTGAAGCTGAAATACACTCACACGCCCGCCGGAAGCTGGTAAGTGTAAAAAGTAACTCACATTATCAAAATTTTACTTCAGGTTTATTTAGCCTCGGTAGTCGCCTGTAGGGATTTGTCAAATCCCACCAAACATCCATCCAAAGTCTGGTGTTTGAGTTTTATTTTGGCGATTTGTCAAAGTAAACATGTTATAATTTAAGTTTGAAAAACATTTTCTGAGTCAGTGTTAGTCACTTTTCAATTCGGCATAATTGTCATACGAATGCGTCGCTGCTTCGTGTCAGATATTAGCACAAAACATCCTGAGAAAATGTGTCATTTCTAACCAGCCATACTGTTGCAACCGAGCAAGGCAACACTAAATTGATAGATTTCGGGATGGAGTTCTGTTTGTAATGTCAGTGGTTTAGTTTGTCCAAGGAGTTTAGCCTCAAAAATCACAGAACAAAACACATAATAGACATACTATAAGATATGTACATTATTTTCTTTGTGGCACCATAACTGTGTTAACTTGTCCTTGCCTTTTTGCTGCATCCTGTTCAAGTAAAAATGGATAAAAGCTCAGTGTGTAGAAGCAGAACACAATGTTTGCAGTGTGTCAGCAGCCATAGAGTCTAATACAATGTAGTCTATAGTATTTCTGTTAACAGCTGTGTCTGCTGCCAGCGGATCAGTACCATCAGTGCTAGGCAGTGGATGTATGTCTGTTTTGTGTGTTTATGTCAGCCTCAGCTCTCCCTGGATTTTTCTGTGAAGATGAATAAGCTTTGTGGCAGCAAAAAGCCTTTGTCATTACTCTTTTCTGTGTTTGTTTTTAATTCTATTAATTGAATGTGACTCATTTTTAAAATTACATTCATCACAATTTCAGATGCACATACCTCATACTGTATAACCCAATATAAAATAAGGTTTTAAAAATCAATGCCATCCACATTCATTTTACCAAACTAAATTGATTTATATTACATTTAAAAATATTTTAAGACAAACTTGATTGGTGACATAAGGCTGATGTCACTGCATATTTTTCTTAGTGTCAACAAATTCCAAGAAAACCAATAGTGTGTCTAAGCTCCAAGCCCAAGATGTAAACCTTTAAAATCACCAAACAAATATGTAGTTTAATTAAAAAAAAAAAAAAAAGGAATTTCCTTAATCTGCTTTAATCTGATCTGAATAAAAAGTAAATAGATAAAAAACTATTCATGGAAAACATCTTCACTTTACTTTTAGAGCCTAAAACTTTTGCACAGTGCTGCAGATGAACGATAAATTGAATACAAAGCTGTTTCATTACAGAACTGTGTGTGTGTGTGTGTGTGTGTGTGTGTGTGTGTGTGTGTGTGTGTGTGTGTGTGTGTGTGTCAGGTGGTGGGGCTGGGTAACCCGGGGATGGATGATACCAGACACAACGTTGGCATGGCGGTGCTCGGCGAGCTCGCTGCCCGGCTCGGCGTGGCTGACCGTTGGCGCGGCGACAAGCACGTGTCTGGTGAGGTCATCGTGTCAGAGGTCCAACACACACGAGTGGTGCTGCTCCGTCCCAGGCTGCTGATGAACATCAACGGGGTGTCAGTGGCCAAAGCAGGTGAGGTCACTGTGTGTGTGTGTGTGTGTGTGTGTGTGTGTGTTGTAACTCTATTGTGTTTGTGTTTATCTCGCTGATGTTGTATTTATGAGCTCAGGTTTGTTTTCAGTTTTATCTCCATGTCCTCTTCTGTCCCTCCCTGTTGTTTTGTTTTGTTTACTCTATAAACACATTTGATTGGACTCTTCAGTCTCTCTCTCTGGAGCACTTTTATTTCTCATCTAATAAATTGCCTCTGTGGGAGAAATATTAATTAAACAGAAATTGAATTAACAACAGCTGAGTCACACTGTCATCACGCAGCACCTGTGTGTGTGTGTGTGTGTGTGTGTGTGTGTGTGTGTGTGTGTGTGTGTGTGTGTGTGTGTGTGTGTGTGTGTGTGTGTGTGTGTGTGTGTGTGTGTGTGGGAATTACAAATGAATGAGGACTCTCCTGAAACATGTTAACATCAACTGACAAATACGGTGGATACTGTTTTCAGTTAAGGAAAGCAGTAGCAGCCTTTCAATTAGACATGATTGTATTTGCTCAATGAAACAATAATGCAGAACACTGGCTGCTTACGTCTCCTCGGATATAAAGATCTGCTGCTTTTCTCTGTTTCATATCACTGTAAATTGAATGTTTTGAGGCTTAAAGCTGTTGGTCAGACAGAAACAGGCAGCTGAAGACATCACCTTGTGCCCACAGAACCTGTGATGACTAGACCAGAATAGACTAAACAAATGATTAAAAAAACAGCTTTAATTGAACATGGAAATAAAGTTTAATTGCTGCACATCTGCTAATATTCCTGGAGTGATCAAATTACCAAATGTTATTTTAAATCTCCCAAATTACAGATGACATAGTTGATGCTTCGTCCTGATTATATTCAGATTATTATATATTATATATTATAATCCTGAAGCAACAGCTAAACATGAGTTTCTTATTAACGTATTCCAGGACTGTTCATATTTGGATTTGGATACCTGATGCCATGTTGAATATTTTATGATGTGACGTCTCGTCCTCTCCAGCTGGTAAATACGGCATCAAGCCTGAAGACGTCCTGCTGGTCCACGATGAACTGGACAAACCTCTGGGGAAGATCGCCATCAAACATGGAGGAAGTGCCAGGTGGGTCATGTAAATAAATGAATTGCTGGTGATGTAGGTCTCTAAACAACAACTCAGACAAAACGTTCTCTTACTATGTCACGTGACTGACAAGATGGAGTGGAGCAATAATAAACGTGATAATTACAAATATAAGAAAATTGGACATTGTTGAATATTTGTTTGTGCATTAACTCTGACTTGAAATTCCTCCTCACAGAGGTCATAATGGAGTCCGCTCCTGTGTGGACTGTCTTCAGACTGATGTAAGTCACATGTTACATACAAACAACAAACAGGAAGTGTTTATCTGGGGGGGGGGGTCACCACTGCATGTTGTAGTCTGATTTTATCTTAGCTTTATGTTTGATTTGTATTTTATTTTATTGTCTTTTAAACTGATGGTGACAGTTCAGACATGTTCGAGCCCAGAGTTACTGTAAACACTGAACTCCACAGTGGTTGTTGATGAGACAGAACTATTTATTCAGAAGGAAATCCAAAGATGGAAGAGGCTCAGTACTCAAAGAACAAAGAATATATATGTGTATTTACATAAACAATAAATACAACTTGGGAAAAAGCTGCTGTTGAAACAAAATAGAAATAGACAAAAAAATCTTTCTATAATTGCAAATTAAAACAAATGAAGCACAGACTAATAGACCCCCCCCCCCATCCTCCCGTCTCCTGCAGGTGATGCTCAGACTTCGTGTCGGGATCGGACGGCCGACGGGGAAAACGGCAGTGGATCGTTACGTTCTGGGTCGGTTCTCCTCGGAGGAGAAGAAGGTTCTGGACTCTGTTCTGGTCCAGAGCGTGGACCTCCTCCTCTCCCAGCTCTCCCAGCAGGACTCCCAGTCCCCCTCCTCCTCACCAGCAGGGGGCAGACAAGCAGCAGGGAAGAGAGAGGGGAGGGAGCGCTCGGCCTCTCCCGCTGAAGACTCTGCTGCTGCTCAGAGCTGAAGTTTCAAACAGCTGCCTCGAGGAGGAAACGTGACATAAGATGAAACATAAAGGTTCATCACTGAGACTGTATTTATTCTCTGGCTGTTAAAAGGCTTAAAAGAGACAATCTACCTCTGAAACTGCACGAAAAGACTCAACATGATACAACCACGCAGACAGACGAGCTCCTTTTAAAAGCAGAGCTGCCTCTGCTGATGCGTTTGTACGTCAGCTGGTTCAAGAACGAAACATTTCCTTCATAAAAAGATAAAAACCTCAATGAACTGATTCTGTTTTTATTCACATTTATCTGATTGTTGATTCTCGATTCCTCAAAAACCTGCGAACGAGTTCAGTCAAAGTTGGTGGAAAGAATTTGTTAAGGATATCTAACGTTACAGGACGTGACATGTTTGAAACATTTAGATATTTTCTCCAAAAAACAGAAATACTGAATGTGAATGGGAGGTTAAAAACAAACGATGTCACAGAGACACTGTTTTTAAATCACATTTATTCTGTAATACCATCAATCACCATGTGATGATGTAACATCAGCTCATGTACTGTAGCAGCAGAGTGTTTCCTCTGTAAAATCAAAAACACAAACTCATTTCTGAATATGTAAATGACAAAGAAATAAGAAAGTCTGTTATTGAAGAGAAACTTAACACCCGGCCGAGGAGCAGTTGTTTCTTCTTCTCTGGTTGAAGGTTTGATTCCTGTCTGACATGTTCATGTAGAGAACTGTAATGTTATAATGTGTTTTAGTCAAGATCGTTCAGGATCACTTCACCCTCATCTGTCCTCACCTGCAGCTGTGGACTGAAACATTTCAAAGCTACAATCACATCAATGGATTAAACTGTAACAAGTTTAGGTTGTTCTATACCTGTGAGGACCCTCAGTGACGTAATGATATAACTCTAACCTCAGTCATCACAACTAAATCCCTGTTAGTGTGAAACCTCAGACCGTCCTGTGGAGGTCTGTCGCTAAGAGAGACACACACACACACACACACACACACACACACACACACACACACACACCCTGCTCTCCTCCCTGATGTGGCTCTTTTGGCTAAAAACATATTGATTTCCCCTCCTGATTGTCACACTAATTACACTCTTCATCAATTAGCTGCCTTTAATGAGTTGCATCGAGTCAAGAGGCGCACTGCGTTCTCACACTGCGGAGAATGCCGAGAGGAGGGAGGGGGTGGGGTGGGGTGGGGGGTGGGGGGGGCAGGAGGTGGTGGACAAAAAAAGCCAGAAAAGAGCATATAAAACAGCGGAAAGAGGCCGACGCGCCGCTGAATGAGAGAAATCAATACAAAGGAGGCCGGTAGATTGCGATGGAGGGCTGAAGAAGAAAGGCAGCGAGAAACAAAAGGAGCCAAACATTGTTTAGGTTTGTTTGAGGCCTTCTGTCCTGCCGTAGCTCAGAGTCACAATAGCTGCAGGGACACACTTGTGGACATGAGGAACGGGGGGGGGCGGCTCAACTCAAGGGAAACCTTCTTCACTCCTCTATGACACCCCCCACCAACACACCAGCACACACACACACACACACCCTGAGCACCCCTCACCCTCCCCATCTTTCTGTGCTGTGACCCCGTTGAGCCACCCTTCGCCTCCATCAGGCCACTTTCTCAGCCCCTCCTCGCTGGTCAGCTTTAGGAGGCTTCACCAGCCGCTTCAATAACTTTTCTTCTGCAGGGGTCAGAGGTCAGCAACAGGCTGGACACCCGGGCCTTTAGAGGAGACCTGAAATTTATTCAGGAATGGGACTCCCACCCCCCAATCTCCCCCGATGCTCTACGGCCAGCGGCCCGGTGGGGGGTCTTCCCACAGATGTGCTAACTCTGCAGTAACACAAAACAAGCCCACACACTCCACTCATCCTGAGAAGGCTAATTAGCAGAGCTGTATTAAGGGAATATACACATTTACACTCTTTTAAAACCATAATCAATGTGTCTGAGTCATGCCAGCAGCGTGGCTCCAGGGATTCATGGTTCCCACTTCTGACTGTGATGATCCTCTAACTTCCTGCTCCACCAAGAGGTTTTTTTTTTTTTTGTGAAAATCTCTCGACACCTATAAGATGGATTGCCATGAAATTTGCTATTGATACTCACATCCCTCGTGGGACGGATTCTAGTGACTGAGGTTTCAATGATTCAGTGAAATGTCTCAGCATCTACTTGATGGATTGTTATTGTTGAGACATTCATGGTTCCCAGATGATGTGACAGTGAGGCTTACATCTGTGGTTTTTATTTAAATATCTCTACAACTTTCAGATGGATTTTTACTGCTAATTACCAAAATGTTTTCATGCTAACATGCTAAAATAAGATGGTAAACAAATGCTAAACACCAGCATGTTAGCACCTCAAAGCACCACCCGGAGAGTAAACAAATCCGGCCCACACATGCTTGGCTCGAATCAGGATTGTCAGGTGCTACTTCACATCTGGACCAATTCTGGTTCACACAGAGAAAATCCTCTGGCTGTCGCAGTTTAACATCCACAGTCTGCCCAGATGTGGAAGTATATGGTCCAGACTCGGGCCGAGAACCCAGGCCTATGTTGGGCCAGAGATTTCATTTTGTTGCAGCCCCACAGAGCTGTTAGCATGACTGTAGACTCTTGTTATACTGACACTGAATCAAATTACTTTAATGCAAAAGAGGAATGTTATATTCCCACCAACTCTGCAGCTGCACTCAGCTCATATTTTTGGTTTGGAGGCACATCACTCCATGATTCCTTCTCCAGCAGTAAATTCATCAGATGCACTTCCTGGTCTGGTCATGATGTATCCATGCAACAAAGAAGGTCATCCTGTCTGCATCTCTGAATGAACCTTCATCTGTTGAAGCTCATCACACCGTCTGTCTCTTGTGTTTCTGGTCTTCCTCGTTCCATATGGCACCGGCACCCAGAGAACGGTTTCTGAACACAGTTACCAGCCCTGTTACCCTGGCAACCTGTTGCACCACCACCCTGCTGCATAGGCATGTGGTGACAGTGGCTCTCACTCTGTGTCCCTGGAGTCTGATGTTAGATGATAAATAATAATAAATATCAGAGGTCGCCAAACTTTTTCACTTTTCTCAGTGTTTTGACACTGGAAGTTCTTCCATCAACTTATATTAAAACTTGCATTTACTGTACTATCTTTACCAGTTGTATTGTCATTAATATGAAAAAGCCTGTGAAATATAAATATACTATAATGTTTTTATGCCTTACAATAATATGAAGTTTCATGCCTTACTATACTGTGATGTTTTTAAGACTTTTCATGCCTTTCTATACTGTGATTTTTTTTATGACATTTTAAGCCCGACTATACTATGATGTTTTTATGACTTTTCATCTTACTATACAATGACATTTTATGCCTTATGCCATTTGAGATTTTCATGATGATGTTTTATGACTTTTTATGCCTTACTATACTATAATGGTTTTTATGATGTTTTATGATGTTTTATTCCTGACTACACTATAACTTTTTATACCATACTATACTATGACTTTTCATGCCTTACTATACTATGACAGTTTTTGGCATTTTTATGCATAATTATATTATTTCGTCTCATGCCTTGCCATACTATAACGTTTATATGACGTTTTATGCCTTAATACACTATGATGTTTTTTTGACGTTTTATGCCATACTATACTATGACATTTTTTGGCATTTTTCTGCTATACTATACTTTGACGTTTTTTGGCATTTTTATGCCTAATTATATTATTTCGTCTCATTCCTTGCCATGCTATAACATTTATATGACCTTTTATGCCTTATTACACTATGATGTTTTTTTGACGTTTTATGCCATACTATACTATGACATTTTTGGCATTTTTCTGCCATACTATATACGAAGATATTTTTGGCATTTTTATGCCTAATTATATTCTTTCGTCTCATGCCTTGCCATACTATGACAATTATAGGACATTTTATGCATTAATATACTATGATTTTTTTTTAGGTTTTACGCCATACTATACTATGACATTTTTTGGCATTTATCTGCCATACTATACTAAGATATTTTTGGCATTTTTATGCCTAATTATATTTCTTCGTCTCATTCCTTGCCATGCTATAACATTTATATGACCTTTTATGCATTAATACACTATGATGTATTTTTGACGATTTATGCCATACTATACTATGACATTTTTTGGCATTTTTCTGCTATACTATACATTGACGTTTTTTGGCATTTTTATGCATAATTATATTATTTCGTCTCATGCCTTGCCATACTATGACGATTATAGGACATTTTATGCCTTAATATACTATGGTGTTTTTTTGACGATTTATGCCATATTATACTATGACATTTTTTGGCATTTTTCTGCTATACTATACTTTGACGTTTTTGGGCATTTTTATGCATAATTATATTATTTTGTCTCATGCCTTGCCATGCTATGACGTTTATATGACATTTTATGCCTTAATATACTATGATGTTTTTTTGATGTTTTATGCCATACTATACTATGACATCTTTGGCATTTTTCTGCCATACTATACTCTGACGTTTTTTGGCATTTTTCTGCTATACTGTACTTTGACGTTTTTTGGCATTTCTCTACCATACTATACTTTGACGTTTTTTTGCATTTTTCTGCTATACTATACATTGACGTTTTTTGGCATTTTTATGCATAATTATATTATTTCGTCTCATGCCTTGCCATACTATGACGATTATAGGACATTTTATGCCTTAATATACTATGGTGTTTTTTTGACGATTTATGCCATATTATACTATGACATTTTTTGGCATTTTTCTGCTATACTATACTTTGACGTTTTTTGGCATTTTTCTACCATACTATACTTTGACGTTTTTTTGCATTTTTCTGCTATACTATACTTTGACGTTTTTTGGCATTTTTCTACCATACTATACTTTGACGTTTTTTGCATTTTTCTGCATAATTATATTATTTCGTCTCATGCCTTGCCATACTATGACAATTATAGGACATTTTATGCATTAATACACTGTGATGTTTTTTTGACGTTTTATGCCATACTATACTATGACATTTTTGGCATTTTTATGCTATACTATACTTTGACCTTTTTTGGCATTTTTATGCATAATTATATTATTTCGTCTCATGCCTTGCCATACTGTTTTATGCCATACTATACTATGACATTTTTTGGCATTTTTCTGCTATACTATACTTTGACGTTTTTTGGCATTTTTATGCATAATTATATTATTTCGTCTCATGCCTTGCCATACTATGATGTTTCTATGACAGTTTATGCCTTAAAATGGTATGATGTATTTTTGATGTTTTATACCATAC